ATCAANAGGGCCCGCCAGAGATAGCACTGCTCTCACAATCTCACTTCTCCTTTACGAGCGGCCGCCTGCCTTACATATATACATATATATATATATATATATGCACTTATGTATATATGCATCTTTCTTTCTTTCTTTGTTCCTGCTGTCGCTGTACGATTTTTGTTTTTGTTTTTGTTTTACTGTTTTCAATTCCTGATAAAAACAAAACAAAACATACAAACATGGGCAGATTGGATCTTTTCGACATCCCCGCTTCTCTCCCCCGAGTATCGTATTTATTGCAAGGCACGCGCTTGACACGGACACGTATGAGCGCTGAAACATAACATTGACGCCCACACACGTGCAGCACCTTCTGAAGGATAAAACAGGGATGAATTACGTAATTCATGTCTCTCTCCGTGTGTGTGTGTGTGTGCGTGCAGGTGCACGTGGGCAACGACTGCCATGCTTCATTGTATCTTTTGCTCCTCCCCTTCTTTTACTTATTGCTCACTGCTGCGCCCACCCATTGTGACTACCGGGGACTGGGTGAAACGGAAGAGCAAAACAACAGCAACAACAAAAGGGAACGCCCACCACTAACATTGCGTGCAGGCAAAGATATATTCCACAGAAAAATATATATATATAGATATACACACACGTACTGACGCTGTGTGAGGGGGAGGGAAACCACGCCGCAAGAGAGACATCAGCGGGAAGGGGGCGAGTAGGAAAACCCTGTCAAGGGTGAAGAGGAGTGCGACACGGCATCAACAACGGCAGAATCGGGAATAAACAGCAACAGTAGCAACAACAAAGGCAGGTATATTGTACGCAGGTGGGAAAGGCGATATCATTGAGTGGCAATGGCGGCAAACATGCATATCACTCCAGAGCAGGTGCTGCAGTTCAGTGCTCCCACCAGTGACTTTCTCTGCCCTTTAACCGCCAACACGTACAACATTGAATTCTACCGGTTCACCATCCGTGACATGGATACAGGCAAAGTTGTGTTTGATGTTGAGCGTGACCACGGAGACTACCCGCCCCCTGAAACCCTCCGGCAGCTTTCACCGGAGATGCAGCAGTTGATGCGCACCATCTCTTACACCTTCCCTCCTTCATTGCTGCGACGAAAGACGATTGGGGCCAAACTTGTGTTTGGTGTCAACGGCGACGCCCCTGTCCCAAACTTCCGCATGATTGAGCGGCACTACTTCCGTAACACACTCATCAAATCTTTTGACTTCACATTTGGTTTTTGCATCCCGCACTCCACTAACACGTGGGAGGCGATCTACGACATGCCTACACTTTCGGAGGAGTGGGTGCGCGCCATCATCGCAAGCCCGAACGAGACCGTCAGTGACAGTTTTTACTTTGTGGACAATAAGCTTATGATGCATAACAAGGCATACTACGCATACAACGCGCGTGAGGAAGACTCTGTTGTTTGAGGTAGTAAAGTGACGAAGGAAATGGAGAAGAAGGCGGGGCCGGTGCATGAGAGGCGCCGACGATGTTGATGAAGAGCCTGGTAAGGTAAGAGAAAGGGTGATGCGGGAGGAGGCCGACACGCGCAACAAACCGACACACCAAGCAACGATACACAGGACCATCTACATGCTCACACGCCACGTCTTTCACACGTTATGCAGAGGTGCGCAGCATCTGGGTGGTGAGTGGAGAGGCCCATGGGACGCGGCAGACGCAAACTCCTTTTGTTTTAGGCGATGCCACACACACACACACACATATATACATACACAATGGAAAAAAAAAATGTGCAAACACAAAAATAAAAGAAACAAACAAAGTATGACTGCCTTTAGGGAGAAACATGCGTGCCGCAGTGTGAGAGGTGAGGAGGTAGCCACAAACTGGCCTGTATGCGTACATGCATGTATATGGGCTGATGTAAGTGCAAAGGTACGAAGATAGGCAAAAATGGACACGAAGAGGAAAATATCATGGTGAAGACACATGTATGCGGTATGCATGCACACACACGCACACACAAATACATACACCTGTCGTGAAGGAGCAATGACAAAGCAAAGACGAAGTGGTGTACAGGAGGTGAGAGGTGAGAGGGGTTGACGAGCAGAACGAAGGAGATACATAAGATGCACATGGCGTGGGGGAAGGCCACGGGTGTTGAAAGAGGGTGAGAGAAGCCAAGGAAAGGAACAGACAGGGCAAATAAACAATTTTAAAAAAAAGGAATAACATTCACTCGACATGGTTAAAAAATGTAGGCGCTAAGACTATCCTCGTTTCAACGGTAATTCACTTTTTTCAAAGAAAAAAAGCCTTTTCCGTTGTATATGCTGTGAAAAGCGCAGCGGGGGAAAAAGGCGGGAGAAGATTCCGTTTTTTTTTTTTTGTCTTGAACATTTTTCAATGCACCTCTTTTTTGTTTGACACATCAGCAACTGTGGTGGGCCGCAAGTGCAGAATTGCACTGACTATGACCGTGAGGGGCAGGCTTACCACGTGCTCCGTCGGCACCCCTGCTGAGCGGAGGTAACTTTTGCTATGGTGATGTGATTCGCATGATTCCTTTTACTTGTCTTTTTTTTTTTGTATTTGTCTGTTTTTTTTTTCTTCATTGGTTTTACTGACTCTGCTTCATTTTGGTCTCACTACCCATATTTTTCCGTTCGCCTCTTGCGCAGCACGTGCATACTTGGCTGTGTGATGGGGCATCGTGTGCTTGGAGGGAGGAGAAAGTGGTGTGTTCCGCATGCTTGCACAAGCGCGTGTGTGTGAGCCTCTCTCTCTCTCCCTTTTTTTTTCTAGCTGTGCACAGTTACGTGTGTGGTGCTTGGAGGAAAATGACAAACGAACTGACTTTAAATGGCTGTGGCGACGGGGAGTGGGCGGAAAATTGTGTAGAAGCAGTAAGAGAGGGAAGAAAAAGTAACACGGGGGAAACTGAGAGTTCACTCTGTTGTGCTGGGGATGGTGTGTGCGGTGTTCTCGCCTCGTTCCCGTGTATGCTATACGTGTATGTTGCATGTGTATGTGTATATGCACCGTCCCCAAACTCCTCTACATATTCAGCCTTATTATGTTTGTTTCCATCCCCCCTCGTGTATGTTGTTGCTATTATTTTTCTCTTACGCTTATTATTGCTCTGCTCAATTCCCTGGCGACCTCCCCCATCTTGGATCACGCGTGCGAAGGAGGGGGGGGGGGGTTGTGCGTGGCCCGACGGGGGCGCCTCCTTCCGCTCATTCCCTTCTTTGCTTCGCGTGCCGCCGGCCTCCGTTGGTCGAAAGCTGCGGCGGTGTGGTTGCCTTCGTCTGACCGCCTCTCTCTTCTTGTCTTCTTCTGGCCTCACTGCACACCCTCGCCCAACTCCACACGACGCCAGTTTCCACGGCAGCTGTGACCGCACAAAAGGCGGAGCGGGGGTGGCAGTGGAGGACAAGGCGGAAACAAGAAAAAGGAGGCACCATCACAAGACAGAGGCTAAATAATACTCACAAAGAGAGAGAGAGATAGAGAGAAAGAGACGTGCAACGAAAAAGAGGAACAACCGCGACCACAGAAAGTCCCCGGTGGGCGATGAGGGCGACGGAGGCGGAAGATAATATGCGGGAAAGCAAAGCTTCCTTTGCGCGGGAGCCTCGACGTGGAGCAAGTGTGATAAAGGGGCCTGGCGTTGCGGTGCGGGCTTCGCCGGGGACAAAGTATCTTATTTATGGCCTTATGGTCGTGTCGGGGAACACCTCTTCTGTTCGTTCGCGTGCCTTGGGAAAGCGTGGTGTTTACATGTCCAATCTCGACGCCGATGAGGAGGCAGCAGAAGAGGCATCAAGAGCCCCTGTTTCTACAGCTGTTGGTGCCAGCAGCGGTGTTACAAGTGTGCGTGAGCACAACCGCATGATGGATATGTTAGTGTCAATGCCGTTGGGCGATTCCCCGGAGGAGCGGTCATCTGTGCGGGGATACGCCTGGGGGGGTACTGTGCCAACGCATTTACGCCCATGTGTGTGGCGTTTATTGTGTGGCTACATACCGTGTGGCCCCGCCTCGTTCTCACGGCAGCAGGCAGAACTGCACCGCAAGCGTGAGGAGTATGACAACTTTGTTGCTAAATATTATAAAATTACGATCGCCGACTTTATTCAGTTGAGTACGCTGCAAGAGATGGAGCCAAGCCGAGAAAAACAACATGCTGGTGCATGCACCACACAAGCTTGTAACTCCACGGAAACGGTGCCCGGGACAACGCCGGCAAGTACCTCGGTAGTGACAATGGCGATGCCACCAGACGACCGTGCTATTCTTTCACAGATTGCGTTGGATCTTCCACGACATAAGTATGCCCTTTTTCATCTTTCTCACTCGGCCTCAGCTCTGGCACGATGCCTATTTTTGTGGTCCCGACGGTACCCAGCGGTGGGGTATGTACAGGGCATTGATGACATTATGGTTGTCTTCTTCTTTGTCTTTCTTGAGGGTGCATTTATGGAGTACAACATGCCTTCCCGGCAGCATGTGCAAGAGAATCCTGAAGAAGCTGGGGATAGTGACGCCCAACAAGCATCAGAACATGTGTTGATTCCCGCGACAGTTGTATACTCGAGTAACGTGAATGAATTGGACGCCGCCATAAAGCAACTGCCTGCAGATCTTTTTAGGGCCGCAGAAGCCGATACATATTTTTGCGGTGGTTTTTTCCTTTCTTGGCTACAAGACAACTTTGTACATGGCCAGCCTGGCATTATGCGAAGTATGAAGCTCATGGAGGCACTTTTGAGGAAAGTGGATTTTAGCTCTGCTTGACTCCATCCTATCACACGGCATCCGACTGATGGACTGCTGCTTTCAATGGGTACACTGCCTGCTCGCGCGGGAGTTGCCTTTGAAATTGCTGGTTCTTCTCTGGGAGAAGTACATGGCGATCGGAAGTAGTGAGATGGTGCTTGACTTCCACGCCTACGTCTGTGTGGCAATTATGATGCACCTGCGCCTGAAGATGCTTGAAAAGCCGCTAGATGTTGTCCTTCAGCTTCTGAAGGACCCATTGGAAAGACGAGCACCGTCACCGCCACCAGGACCCGGAAACGACGGCGTATACAATCGTGCCTGGCTGGAGGGCCTTATTTTAACGGCGTCGCAGCTCTTCCGCGACCACCCGGCATCCTCGTTGTCATGACACCGTCACTTTCCCCACACCTTCTTTGGGCCGGGGGGAGAGGAACGTGCGCCCGTGCAAGGACTCTCACAAATGAGTGACTTCTACCCCCTTCCCTTCTTCCTCTACTTCCCTCTTTGTCGTTGTGTTGTGGCACGCCAAGACATTATGCACAGCCTTTTTTTTTTTTTGGACCCACTCATTTGCCGACTGTGCGTCGTTTGTCTTGTTGCAGGGACGTGGGGACCCCTTCTTAGGCGGCTTCATTTTTCCAACCCTACACGAAGGGTGTAAGAAACGAAAGACACACACACACAAGGAAAAGTAACTAAGGGACTAAACGAGTAATAATGGGAACCAAATCGAAGAAGAAGGCCAAGACGCGTCTTGATGCGTACTACCGACTCGCAAAGGATCAAGGGTTTCGTGCCCGCTCTGCGTTTAAGCTTATTCAGCTGAACCGCAAGTACGACTTCCTTGCAAAGAGTCGCGTGCTCGTCGACCTCTGTGCGGCGCCAGGCGGTTGGTGCCAAGTCGCAGCGAAGCATATGCCGGTGGGCTCAAAGATCGTTGGGGTGGATTTGGTACCGATTGCCCCCATTCGAGGTGTGAAGACGTTTGTCGGTGACATCACGGATGACAAGACACGGAAGATGATCGTAACGTACCTTAAAAAGGAACCGGTGGACTGCGTCATTCACGATGGTGCCCCTAACGTGGGTGGCGTGTGGTCGCGTGATCTGTTTGAGCAGAATGCGTTGGTCCTGCACGCCGCCAAAATGGCCACCTCTATGCTAAAACTATCGGGGTGGTTTGTCACGAAGGTGTTTCGTTCGCAGGACTTTCACAAACTCATGTGGGTTTTAAAGCAGCTGTTTGAAAAGGTGGAGGCAACAAAGCCACTCGCCTCTCGTATGGAGTCGGCTGAGATTTTTGTTGTGTGCGCCGGTTTTAAGGCACCGAAGCAGCTGGATCCCTCCATGTTCAACGCACAAAAGGTGTTCTCGGATGTGGGTGAGGAGAAAGTCTTGACACCCTCCGGGACTTTCGTAGTGCCGAAGTCTAACGTGCCGGCGGGGTACAATGAGTTTGCTACGATTTCCCATCATGTTGCTGCCTTCTCTGAGTTTCTTCACTGCACGGACCCAAAGGAGTTCCTTCGCTCGCACCACGAGCTGCGCTTCGCCACTGCAGAGGACAAAGTCTACTTGAAATCAAAATACTCCAAGAAGGAGCTCGTGTACCTCTGCGGGGACCTGCAGCAGGTAGGCGATGCGGATATACGACGTATGCTGCGTTGGCGGGAACAATTGCTGCGCGAGCAGGCGACGATTCTGAAAAAAAAGGCGGAGGAGCAGCAGCAGCAGAAGGAAGGGGATGACGTGATGGAGGAGGAGGAACTGGATGAAGGTGATGAGGGTGGCGATAGCGTAGAAAAAGACAGCGACGACGCGGGGATTGACCTTGACAGTGCAGAGGGCGTGGCGAAGATTGCCCGGGAGCTGCTGGAGCTGCGAAAAAAACAATCCAAGCTGCTGAAGCGGAAACAGAAGAAGATTGTTGACCGCAAGTTGAAGCAAATCAAGGGACTGATCAACTTCGACCCCAATACAACTGCGGAGGACGTGACAGAGGCGGATGGATTTATGGAAGACACCGATGTAAACATGCAGTCCGAGGGAGAGGCTGACGATGACGAGCCTGACAACGATAACGATGACGAGGGCGAGGGATTTACCGTTGAGAAGTTGGCAACCGTGGACGAGGCGGTACTGGCAAATATGTTTGACAAGCACTGGGAGGAGCCGGACGAGCGCCTTAACGATCCTTTGAACCCCGTCATGAACGCCAACCTCAACGCTGAGCAGGACTGGGATCTGGGCAGGGAGGCAGAGGACCCCAGCGATGCCGGTGAGCGTGGCGATCGGCCGCTGCAGCTCGTGGAGGGTGAGGAGGACGGTGTCGACGTCGACAATTACGGTAACTACATCCCCGCAAAGCGCTCGGCTCGCGTTGCCCTCTACGACGAGGGCCTCGTTGCTGAGAACAGTGAGGAGGAGGATGCAGACGAGGAAGACACCGCGTTGCAAAAGAGGAATGCGAAGGACCAACAAGACCTTGAGGACGCCGGCAAGCGGAGCAAGTGGCTTAGGCATCATGTCAACGTTGAAAAGGTGCTGAATCAGACCTTTCCAAAGCCGCGCGATAATAAAAAGAGGAAACGGCTGCTTGAGGAGGATCGTGTAGAGCTGACGGCGTCGTCTCCACTGCACGACAGTGACATCAATGGCACGGGTGGTGCGGCACGCAAGCGGATGCGCTTTGACGACCGCGTAGATGACGACAACGAGGAGGATTCTCAGAGCCTCTCCAACCTGTCGGAGGACCGATTTAGTGACGACCGTAGTGAACTTGAGGTCTCTGCGGGGCGTCTCGATTCCCGCCGTAAGCGCGCCATTATCCCTGACGTTGGAAAGCTTACCACACAGGAGCTCGTGCGGCAGCAGCGGAAGCAGACGTTGAAGGACAACGCGTCCACCCGCAAGCAGAATGCGCGTAACAAGAGCAGTGCTCGCAAGGATGAGATGGGTTTCGAGGAGATTCCGGTTGCCCTCACAGATCCACACATTCGTGCCCGCACATTGGCGCTGGCGACAAAAATGCTTGACCCGAAGAGCCGCCGGGATATTCTTGATGCCTCCATCAACCGCTACACCTTCAACGACGACGACGATCTCCCCGATTGGTTTATCAAGGACGAGCAGCGCAACTGCAAGGTGGTTCTCCCCGTCACTGCAGAGGAGATTGAGGTGCAGCGGCAGCGCTTCCGCGAGATGAACGCGCGGCCTGCTAAGAAGGTGATGGAAGCCGTGCAGCGTAAACGCCGGCGGGCTCAGCGCCTCCTGCGTTCCATGATTGAAAAGGGAAAATCTGATCCACGAGCACGGGATAAGGCGAACAACGCCTCTGTGCGCAAGCTGATGCGCTCGCAGGCGGTGAAGGGCGACGGCAAGCGGAAGAAGAAGGGTCCACTGGACGCGAAGAAGATGGGTGAGATGCGGCGGGCAAAACAACGACTTAAGCGCCGTCGTTAACGTGTCATGTTTTTTTTTTGTTTGTTGTTTCTCGGATGCAGATATATACGCGACGGAAGCTCGGGGAACTGCAGCACCGCGCTGCCTGTGAGGAACCGCGAGGGGATAGGAGGGCGGGCGGTGATTAGCGGCGGCGAGGGCCACACCGGATCGTTGGGCAGGAATACAGCACAGGGAAGAGGGCGTAGCACATGTCCACGCGTGTGTGTGTGTGTGAAGGGAGGGAGAACGGAAGGGAATGAAGCCAAAATAATTGAGTCTTGTGTAACAATAACAACAAAGTGAGTCTCTTTTTGTGTATGTTGGGTGCATCACAATTGCAGAGTAACAAAGTGGGAAATAAAGCACAACGAAAAGGGAAAGAAAGGCGCAGTCGACTAGACACCCACGTGCATGTATATATATATATATATATATATATATATATATATATAGTAAGT